GCTCTCTGACAGAGAAGGCTCAATGTCTCAGGAAAAAAAAATATAATTCCCATGATTCACTAGCACTGAGCCAGGACAGTAAAAGTGGCCTCAAGCTGCATTATTTCTGGCAGTCTGTAAAGGCCCTAAGTGACCCTGGGCAAATCACACTCCCTCAGCCTCAGAGAAAGTCAAAGGCAAGCCTCCACTGGACAAATCTTGCCAAGAAAATCCCATGATATGGTTCACTTATGGTTGTCATAAGTTGGAAATGATTTCAAGGCACATAACAACAACAACATATTAAGCGTGGCTAGTGCCTACCAGCTCTAGCATCTAACTTTTCTTAGTATCAGCATTAAACACTTCTTCCATCAAGACTCTCTCCTTACTCCTGAAATAAACTGAACTCAGGATTGTTGTTTGAATTGCTTCAAACATTTAAATTATTACTTGAGTCTAGATGAGCAAAAAATAAAGAACTCACAATACGAATTATCCAATATGTTCCTTGGGAGCAAAATATAAATCATGTCATGGTTTATTTTATCATCATCATCATCATCATCATCATCAAGTTTATTTATAAGGTCTTTTTCACCAAGGGTGGTACATTAAAACATATATAACCAAAAACAAATGATATAACACAACACTGCAGAATGCTAAAAAAATATATTAATATGCTAAAAACAAAAACAAACAAAATCCTCGCTACCTTAAGCACGCTCAGCAACTTAATCGGTGAATCAAAGATGAAGACCTTCAACCCTTTACAAAAGCATGTTTCTATATGTCTATTTGGGTCCAATCCACATTGCCGAAATAATCCAGTTTGAGACTGTTTTAACTGCCCTGGTTCAGTGATAGGAAATCCTAATAATTGTAGTTTATTGTGACACCAGAGCTCTCTGACAGAGAAGGCTAAATGTCTCACAAAACTACAATTCCCAGAATTCCCTAGCATTGAGCCAGGGCAGTTAAAGTGGTGTCAAACTGGATTATTTCTGCAGTGTGGACTGAACCTCAAAAAGATATCCCACTAAATCCAACTGAACTTTCTTCTAAGTAAACATGTGTAAAAGAATCTCCTTCCTTGGAAGTCTTTAAGCAGCGGCTGGATGGCCATCTGTCAGGGATGCTTTGATGTTGAGTTCCTGCATGGCAGGGGGTTGGACTGGATGGCCCTTGTGGTCTCTTCCAACTCTATGATTCTATGATTGCAACATAAGATGAAATAAGTAATTAACCTTCATATAGAAAATGAAATAAAAGAATCAAGTGAGTACACAGAATTTGTTTTCCAAAATTTCTTCTTTTCCTCTCAATGCAATCAAAATCTACAGAAGACATGCACTCAAATCCTGTCTATGACCTATCCTGGAAAACTGTTAGACTTCCCTCTGTCTACTTAGAAAAGAACATTAGCACTGTACATATATTGTGCTAGTCCTGGTCCCTGTTTATCTGGTACAGCTTTACTAGATTTATCCATCAAGCCATGGTTCCAATTTTACTCCTCACATACCTCTATCTAGATTATATCTCATTACAGTGGGCCCTCCGCATTCACTGTGGTTGGGGGCATAGGACCCCCATGAAAGCGGTGTGTGTGTGTGTGTGTGTGTGTGTGCAAATTAAAAACACACACTTTTTTTTTTACCTGAGAGAACAAGTCTCTAGGAATCTTTATGCCCACGCAAATCTACAATCAAGATCCACTGGAAGCTGGCCAAAGAATTGTGCTGGAGGACCTAAAAATACCAAGAGAAGTGTCCTCTCTAGGAATCTCTAGAGATTCCTATATGACTTCCAGTAGAATTTGGCGAAAAAGTCACGCTGGAGGACCTAGAGCAGGGGTAGGCAACCTAAGGCCCGGGGGGCCGGATGCGG